TACGTGCATGCAAACAGGAGACTTCACCATCAGTGCATTCCTAGAAGCAACGGTATAGATGGGGGCATTTTAAAAAAACTGTTTTTACGGCCTCAGCACACACACAAATTCAAATTGTCTGTCTGAGGCTTGCGTGCCATCCCCCAGCTGCCTGAAACCTTGATGTATACGGGGAAAATATATAGCCCCGGGTCATTAGCTATAGCACGAGGCAGCTGATTGTTGCCTTATTTAAGTTGTTCTTCCTCCCTCCTTTCAGACACACATGTCATTGAACCTTCAGGGCCAGATGAAAGAAATCAAAGGCATGTGACCCACAAAGGGGATGGGAGAGAGGCTGTGAAGGAGTGTTCATGTGTGTGTGCAGGTCTTCAAACTCAAGAGAATTGGAAGGGTATTTCTGACAACGAACCCCTTCTCTCTGGCCCGTACAAAAATGGCAGCCTCTTGTCTATGACACCTCTCAATAAAAAAATGCATTTGTGTTAGTGCATGTGGGCATCAAACCTCATCTGTAAAGGTCCTGTGAGTACATGTACTCGGTTTTTATATATAACTAAAAGAATGAAAAACTGAAGTTAATTAATAAAGGGCCTTCTTCTTCAAAATTAATAGAAGGTGGACTAAAATCTAATAAGTAGTTGTGTCTTATTATTCAGTTTAGTTATGCTATCGTGTTGGGATTTGGGGCCACTGGGTCCCATGACATGAGGGGTATTAAACCTAGGAGAGATTTTAAATAAAAAACTCCTGAATTTGCATAGAGACGATAGCAGGCCTGCACCGTGTTGGTGACCCCTACTGCAAGGCAAACTGAACTCTCCAGTGCTGCAGGCCTGCCAGCATCTGAGGCCACACAGCCAGGCTGCATGAGTCACACAGTGCCGGGTGAAAACCAAAATGTGTAAAAACTTCCCATTGGCAGATTAGTTTGTTTACATCCTGCACTGGACGTGATTTGGCCGGGCTGCAGCGAGACACAGCCAAAAAGCCTGTCTTCTCTTTCCTCCCTTTAACTCGATCCTTCAATGCCTCTTTCCTCCTTTTACCGTCTTCCTTCCCCTTCCCTCTTTTCTCTCAACTATCTCCACTTCATCTCTCGCTGGCCCACCGCTGCCGAGAGCACATGACCATGAGGCGGAAAAATAAATCAGACCTGCCCCAGTAACACATTTAAATGAAGTAAGAACAAATAAATCAGACAAATTTATAACAACACCAAACAGATGGGGAAGTTGTATTTCCAGAATAAAACAAGACATTCTTAAAAAGAAAAAGGAGGGAAAACAAACGTCCTCCTCAATGGAGTTTGCCAAGCTATGAGCTCATACTTTGTAGATCTCTGCTGAATATCTATTCATAGCGTCAGCTCCAAGATGTCAGACTTTTATGAGCCATTTCTCCTCTCGTTATCTGCAGCAACATTTAAGTGCCTGCTAATTTACGTCTGGAAATGTGTGTTTTGACTTGGAAGCATACTCGGGGTGGCTTAAAGTGAACCGGTGTGTACGGGGACTGATTAAACTCTTCATACTTCTTGGATTGCAAAAGAGACTGGTAAAGGTCGACATGTGTGGGCGTCGTTTTCACACCGACCCAAAGCGTAATGATGAACAGGGTCAGACTGGGGTAACGTGAACAACGTCATCTGTGAGCCATGGTTTTGAGGTCATGCTTGGCACATCTCTCTGAAAGTGGTGATTTCATAACGACATCATGGCATATGAGCTACTGCCTCTCTTCTTGCACCACCTTAGGGTCAAAGGTGAAACAATTTTTCACTAAAAAGGTTTCTGCCTCTCTAAATCAAGAGCTGCATTCGACTACTGTTGGCGAGACACCTAAACCTATGCAGTGTTTTCGCTTGAGGTGACGACTACACGTTTGATGTGAGCTGACAGCACAAAACAAAGAATGTGATTCCCCCTATTAAAGAGTCTGCACACACAGGTGATATGAGGTCTGATCAGGAAGATGTCAATCATGTGTGCACAGGCGAAGTCTCGTCAGGATAACTGAGGTTTCAATTAGTTCCACATCTGAAGAATACACGTCTTTTGTTTTCATATATTTTCAACACCTGTTTTTTTATAATGATAATCATATACAATTTAAAGAAGTGTGATGTGTTTGTACAGTTAAGTTGTGGGGAGTCACTGGGTCATATGCTATTGGAGGTATTGACAACAAATAGGGATTTCAATACAAAACTCCTGAATGTGCATGGCTGCTGTATGTTTGTATGACATAGATAACAATCTAATTAAAGAGGTGAAGAAATGTGGTCAAATGATAAGGAAGATATTGAAAAATACAATATTTTGTATACATTTTTTTATATTTTAAATATATTCCCATACATGGAAAAAACACACTAATCCAACCCTTCATATAAAAAAAGAGGCGTGCCCTACTTGTCTGGGACTTACTGTGAATTAACAACAAACATCAGATAAATGCTACGAGTCAGTCAAACATGAGTAACTTTTCAAGAACACATGCCAGTAGTTTTTTTCTATAATCTAACTAAACAAGCCAACAAACAAAACAAATCAAAAACATACGCAAAACAGTTTTAACACCATAACAACAAAAATCTCAAATGACATGATGTAATGTTTTACTGGCTGACCATCCTATGTGGGCTCTTTGTTAATAAAAAAAGCACGGTGTTCTTAATTGTTTGCCGATGAACTCAGAATCTGTATTGACCAACAGTCAAATGACAACAGACATTTTCACCCAAAAAGGGGCATGGCCACGGCGTAGAAGGAAAGTACCAGGATGGGTTGATCTTATGTATACAAAGCATTTCCACCCATCTAGACAAAAATGCAATACTTACCAAAACAAAGACAGCAGCACTTTAAAACCCCAGAGTAGTGTGGATGCCAGGCATGAATATGGCTAAAGTTATGCATTTGAACCAAACGTATTATTGTGGATGTAACTTCACTGTGGTGTGCTAATGCTGCCTAAGCTTGTTAAACAATACATCATGTGAAAGAAGATTACTGCACAGGTAGGCGACCTCCAGTGATGTGTAGTTTATTATGTAACTGACATAGTTTCCAATTATAATGACTGTTGTATGAAGGACATTTGATCAACATTTGTATGTATTTCAAGAAGTTGTATTATATGCTCAGAGATTTACATGACAGGATGTAATGTCTGTAGGTACATTTGAGGGAGGCCTGTGGTGCAGTGGGTTGTGAGTTGGTATTCGGATCAGGAGGTCACAGGTTCAAACCCCACTGCAGTCAGCATGTCGTTGTGTCCCTGAGACACTTCACCCCAAATTGCTCCTGTGGAGATTGCCCACAGTATTGAGTATGTAAGTCGCTTTGGATAAAAGCGTCTAACAAGTGACATGTCATGTAATGTAATGTAATGTAATGTAAGGACATTAGCTAAGCTTAGCATGAGGACAGGGGAAATATTGAATACACCAAGATCTGCCAACCAACACCTCTAAAGTTGACTTAATAACTCTGTTTAGTGTAAGAACAACATGATGTAAAAATGTACAGTATAGAATTACATGCTCGTCTGTTCCTTGGCGGGGGGAAGTGACGTCCTAGACCCCTCAGTGTCACTATAAGTACGTCTGGAAACGGTCAGAGACACCAGAAAGTCGCTGTGCCTGGCCAAGAAGAAAAGCATTTTTTTCTCAAAATGGTGAATATTATATTAGTCTTAGAGTAATATACAAAACTCGGACAGCGTGTCATGACAATATGATGATGCCAAGTAGGCTATGCCATAATGTAAAGGGACAGGGGCCAATACAAAATGCTCTCCTCTTCCATACATGTTGCTTAACACATTTGGAGAATGATTGAATTAAAATATGAAATGCGAAAACTATATCCGGTGGAAATTGGCGTTGTGTATATTGACACTTTTCTTGAACTTGGAAACTATTAGTGCTTCCAATAATCCGATATCAGTTATGACGCAAATGTCAGGTGCTTTATAAAAGACTAATAATTATATATTTCTGCTAAATTTGATAAACGTTTTCAGAAAGACACACAAACAGGATTGCAGTGGAAGTTAAACGCAACAAAAATGATGGCTTTTCCTTGTTTCTTTGAGTAACACATATTTGCACTTTTAACACATCATGATGTCAATGCTGTCATTCTTTCCTTATGACATGTCTTGTGTTCAAAAGTAGCAAACACAAGTGTGAAAAAAGGGAACACCCGTGTGACAGAAGTGTTGAAATCCTCTGCAAAAGTTTAGAAATAGGCCATGAGCTCACTTGTAATTACTGCAGTCATAGCCAGTATGAGGTATTATAGGAATAGCTCTCTCTCTCGCTCTGAATTTGACTCCTACATGCTGATATCAACAGGAAAGAGGCAGCCAATGAAACTAATTGGGTGGTGTGTGTTTTATGAAAAGAACAGCCTGTACTGTCCCGAGGTTCCCTCCCCCCGCTCTCTGACTGGCTGGCTCCTAAGTGGTCTGCTTTTTTTCTCTTTGCTGTGATTGGATCCAGGGAACGTCAATAACTCCAAACTTGTTTTCCCTCCCTCCTTTCCTTAGGACTAACCCTTGTTGTTTTCAACTTTAGAGGCAGAGCTGGGCTGAGAGGATCCAGCAGTCACAGCCTGCACTCTGGCGCTGTGCTGTGTTGTATTCCAACCACACACATTAGATTTTATTATACTAAATGGCAGTAGTAACTTCATAGGAAGTAGAGCAACTATTGGCAACTTATTGGAAATGCTTTGGTAGTTAGGGACCTGCTGGAAAAAAGCTTACAACTGGATTATTGTTTTAAAAAATTACCATTATAGGTTATTTATTTAAGGTTATACTGTTGATAATTTATGCAATGTCATTCATCAGACCAGATTGAAGAACTAATTAAACCTTTAGTAATGTGTTTGTACTTTAAACCTGAAGTGTGTGTTAAGAGTGGATTAGGAGTGTGCTTTGCAATCAAAAACAGTAAGCATGTGTATGATTTCTGAGACGTAACAGAAACACACAGGGTATAAAATCGATTATTAGGCTCAGTTTTGCAACAATTTATTTATCTTACAAACAATAATGGAAATATATATTTACAAAAAATGTATTTTCAGGAAGCTATACACGTACACCAACAATAAAAAGCTCGACATAAATAAGTTAGTAGGATTTTTTCAGTGTTTTGAAAAAAAAGAAGAAATAAAGCACACAGGTACACTTCAAAGTTTTACGCCAAATAAGAGTTGTTTTTCTGCCTTCAAAAAAAAGTATAGAAATTAATAATAGTGCAATTACATGTTCCACATGAATTTCACACCACAAATAACAAATCTTTGATTCACATATTTGCATAATAAGTAGCCCAGTGTTTTTAACATATTGTATCTATGTTAACCTGGACTACACCTCTTATTATAAGGGGCGGATTACGTGACTTTAAAAGCCACTAAAATATGAACTCATCTAATTAAAAAATGTTTTTAAATTCTTAGGATTATTAGCAAATACTGTTAAAATTTGGTTGGATATTGCTCAGCAGTTAAACCCCCCTCCCTTACCCCCAGAACAAAAGGCACAAACTTTGGCAAAAAAAAGAAATACAAATGGGGGGAATAAAGACACCATATTTGCATGTAAACTTTATGTCATGGCTGTTCCCAGTTTAGATGGACCCTCAACTTACAGTGTGGCCATCTGGGCCTTCACAAAAAAAGATATACAACACTGGGACAGATAAAGCCATAGAAAAAGTGAAGACGTTTTGTTTACACACAACCCTGACTTCTTTTCAAATCTGCATTTTTTAACTTACATCAATTACCTGAATAATAATAATAAAATATGACCAACTTAACAAAATAATATTTATCTGTTGGAAATTGCACTGCAACTTCCCAAGTCAAATTCACACAAATACATTTAACAAAAGGTATGAAAAGCATAGTATGCTTTCTTTATGTGCTACATCTGAAACATAGGTAGTAGATTTAAAAAAAAAAAATGAGCAAAAATCCATTTGCACACTGCTACATTGTCTGCTTCTTCTGAGGCCATTTAAATTGAAATGTGTGCCAAAACTTGATAGTGTACATATTCAGTGCGTGTGCAGCCTCTCCTCCTCCCTTCTTTAGGAAAAGGCTGCGTTTTATTTTCACCCTCATCTGTCAGATGATGACTAGGCTACAGTGTTCCATCAGCAACAGGTCTCCCCGCTCTGTGGGAAATAAAGAGGAAACAAGCTGTTGGATGGTGCAATTAAAAAAGCAGTTGCTCGTGCTTAGAAACCTCACACACACACTGACACACACACACACACACACACACTGACACACACACACACACACACACACACACACACACACACACACACACACACACACACACACACACACACACACACACACACACACACACACACACACACACACACACACACACACACACCACACACACACAGGTTAAACAGTCATAGCACGATGGGGTTGTGGAAGATAACAGGAAAAAACAATATGTTGGTTTAAAGAGCTGATGACGTGTAAAGTGCAGGATATAAACGTGTGCTTGCCTAAGCTAAACAAGTGTACAGAAGCTATATTTGCGTCCAGAATTTTAAGCAAAATCCTATATATTATGCTACATTTTAATGGCTTAATAACATTGCAAAAAAAATAATTGTGATTTCTAACCTGGCACTGTTTTTCACTTGGCCTCCGTTCTAACCTCCCTGCTGGGTCTCTCCTCCGAGGCTTTCACCGCCTGACTTCCTGCACTGTCCGACTGGTCTTCATCATCCTCTTCATCGGTATGCGACCTTTTACCAGGACACTCGCTGGAGCAGGAACCTGGCAGGGAAAACAAGTGGTCAGGGTTTTAAAGCTTCACGTTTAAAAAGGCACCTGACATATTCGACAGGAGGTATAAACTACTAGATTTAAATGCTTTATTGTCATATACAGAGTAGCTACAGTGTAGATATGGCATTACAAATCTTAAGTGTCAAGGTCCTCCAAAAATGCAACATATATAAGACCTAAAACCATTAAAACAGTAAAAAATAAAATGGTGCCAGATTATGTTTGCTACTATGTAATTAATACGTGCGAGCTCTATCCCACTTGATATGACTTTAACAGAGTAATTCTCAGTCTGCCCCCCCCCCCCCCCCCCCTAAACTCAATTCAGTTAACCCTACGCTTCATGCCTCTGCATTGCAGCACAGTGAGAAATACACAGCAGCCGAAGAATACGTGAAGAATAATCACCTGAAGCTCCTGAACGCCTCTTCCTCGAACCGAGTGTGTCCGGTTGATCCGACCTCCCTTCGGCTCCCTCCGGGTGGTTGTGTCCGGGCAGGTCTTCCTCTCGCTGGGGTCTCGTGTGAGGCTCCCGGGTGTAAAACTCCGGTGCGTCGCGCTCCTCCTTCCAGTCGAAATTGCGCGGGGAGAGCGGTCTGTCGTTGACGGGGTCGAAATTATACGTCTCCGTAAAACGCTGCACTTCTTCCTGTGCAAAAGACTGTAAATGCCTCTGTAGCTCCTCTGGGTCCGGTGTGCCAAAAAGGTTTCTGCGCACCGAGGGTCTAGCGTTTTCCGGCTGCCGCGCATCCACCCTCTCCAATGTGGGGCTCGCGGTAGAAAGGCGAACATCTGACATTTTGTTGCACATATAGACAATGTGGGGAAGTAAAAAAAAAAACCTTTCAAACTTCTAATTCCAAGTAGTATTCCTTTCAAATGCAAAGTCACGGGGATGCTGCGTGCATACTCCGCGCGTATCATCCAAAACGCGTCCGCGCAAAAAAAAAGAAGGAATTAAGCTTCTCCAAAGGAGGCAGGGGCGTTTTAAGAGAGCCACTCCTGTCAAGTCCGTAGTAAGGCTGATGAAAACAACAAGTCAAGTCATAACAGCCAACATGGCGTTAGAGGGAGCTACGAGTGAAGAAGAAAAGTTGACATCAAGGACTATTTAAATAGAGAAGGCGATTCATTGGTCTGCGCACTAGGACCGCCCATTGAGCTCTTAAAGTCGAACAGAGGGAAACAACAACACAGGGCTGGATTGGATTAACTCTACACACGACACGAATATGGCCCAATTAACCTGTTTGATTAGTTAAATACACAGAGAGCAAAGGGAACAAAGACTAAGGTTATAATGGAGTGCGAAATCCTGCTTTATTGTTCCATTAGTACTCCATTTATCACAGCTGGCCTCAGGATAGACATTAACCAAACACATACAGGACAAATATATCATTTGATGTCATTATCTCATCTCATGTCATTTGTATCTCTATGTCTATATGTCTGTGACATGTCCTGAATAAAACAAAATGTATATAACACTGTAAACTGATCTACAGTGGTGTAGCTCCAGGCTATCGCAGGAATAAATCATGAAATGCTGGTACTAGTGCTGACAGATATCACCGCTTGATCTGATTTTGTGTCACATAAATAGTTTAGGCACACTTGATTCAATCACTGTAATCCAGAAACAGCTTCGAGGCTATTTAAGGACAATGAGACACTTAAATGAGGTTTTTCTGCAGGAAAAAAAAGAAGCAAAATAAGCCACAAATCTGCCTCCCAGGCATCCGATGACATCAGCTCGGGAGCAGAAAGCCTGCCGTCATCGTTGGCACGGTGCCTATCGCTGTCAGACTTTGCCACTGGTGCCACAGAGGAGTTTTGTGTGCTTCACTGGTTGTAATTGCTTGTGTGTGCTTGGAATTTAAACACTGACAAAACAGAGTATGGTGCAGGTTTAAAAAGAAGAAAAAAATATCTTGAAATTCACCACCATTTCCCCGTGGTTGGTTCTCAGTTTACAGATTCCTAAATATTTAAATGTGTGTTCATGCAAGGCTTAAGTTATCAAATTCATTATCTGTACTCCCCAGAGCTGCATAGGAATCCTGTAGTAATTGATTGAATGCATCTGCAGTAGTAAGCAGCACTCCTTGTGCCTAGGAGTTCACGATGTCCCAATCTAAACTCAACAGTGAATGTCGCTCTGCATTCCTCTTCAGCATTCGCCAGTAAAAAGCACTGGGCCTGCCTTAAAGGCCATGCTGTTTCAATTAGCCTTTTCGAAAACGTCCAGCATCTCGTGATAAATACGGCAAGGCCATCTGCTGTATCGATGTTATCGCCAGGATCACACTTAATCCATAGTATATTTATGCTGCTGCAAAACTGTGTTGTACAGAGTGATCCCTTAGATGAAAACAGATTAAACGGCAAGTGAGAACAAAGGGTGTGTTTTGGAAATGATGGAACTGTTTATCACAGCTTAATGTAGCAGAGTGGGATGACGCAACCGCAGCAGGTTATGTCACTGAAACGAACATTAGTTACATATTAATTATGATCTACAATGTAACAGTCACGAAACGGAGAAAGAAAGGTCACTACATACCGTTTTTATAGTTTGAGATAAGACAGGAAAACATTTTCGACTCCATGGAAGTCAACAGTGCACTCTTTGTGGATGCAGAGATGCACTCGTAAAGATGCGTCATGTCCACACACTAAATAGATAGTTAGTCGTTTAAATGTTGCCACATGTTCCTGAAGTCATAAAAATGTCTTCTCTCGATAAAAAGGGGGCATTAAAACATTGCAAAACAGGCATAATTCATCAAGTTCAAGAGGAAATTGTACACAAATTAATTTTCCTACATCGCAAGAGCAGACATGAATCTGTTTTTAAAACTGCACAGAAACTTGTCTTTGGAAATGCTATTACTTCTTTTGAGTCGTATAATTAAAATAATAGTGTAAAATAATAACAGTTTGTAATGAGTGTAAGGTAGCAATATATTAAACTTTTCATGTAGAAAAGTTTACGCCACTGCAGGGCAACTATGCACAACCAGTACATGTCATCAGATTTTTGAACTAGGAGTCATTTTTAATAGCCTGCAAACCAGCGGGGCTGATTTTTGATTTGGAGTCTGCAACCACAATCCATCAGGGGTCCGGCAAACCTAGTCACACCCAATGCTTGATTCTATAAAACCCTCTAGAAACTAATAAACAAATAAGCCCCTGAAGGCTAATACAGCAGCCTAACTTTACTGGACACAAGCATAGACTAGTATTTTTCTAATGTGAGGTGTTCATTTTCCATCAAATAAAAAGCTTAACCTCAATAAACTACAGTGTGCAGTTGAAGATTTTTTCTTGTTCTTGTAAAGCACCGTGGCACATTTGGGACCCTTATATTCTTCTATTGGTGAGCATGTTATGGACCTGTAGTCCGATGTCAGGAGACGGCAGCCTTAGAGCTCTGCTTCTTCTTGGCCAGCTCGGCCTGGATCTGATGAGGGAACTGCTCCAAGTGTTTGTTCACACACTGCATGCAGAACCTCTTGGTGTAGAAAAGACTGCAGTCCTGAGCAGAGAGAGAGCACAGTCCAACATCAGTGCTCCATTTTCAGATAAGCACTGGATATGTTCTTTTTTTTTTAAAAGATGGATTATTTGATTTTAAAAGGCACAAGTCATACATCTCACACAGCATGCCACATAATTGCAATGGCATCTGAAGAAAACATCCAAAACACATTTTTCAAATCCAGACTGGACATTCAGTTCTGGCTGATCAGCAGATAATCAATTGAAATCCTGAATTACACCACTAAATATTGAAGCTGTAGCTAAACAGACCAAAGTAATCAAATTTAAATACATCTTACCGATCCAACACAGACACACAGGCTACACATGCTGCAGGTAGACCCCAACACAAGAAACTTCTCCTTGTCCGGACTGAAGGGGTCCTGGGTCACAAAACACTCCTCAAGCAACCTGTCGGACGACAGAAATGCAGATATAAGTTGATATAAACCTTAATTTAGATACGCATATGTGTTTTAATGGACATAATGTGTCATAAATGTAACGTTTGAATCGCTTTAGGGTTACTTTCGCTGCTACATTAGCCGTGGTTATGCTATTACGTAGCTAACAACATTAGCACAAAATGTTTGCCTTTTTTTGGTCCACTTACACAATGGCTCTGGTGTTTGGTGGTTTCTGGCCGTAGTAAGTAAAAGGGCTACTTAAACCACACAACTGGCAAGTAAATGTTTTTTGACGTGGCTCGCTTGTTTGCTCCATCTTTTCTAAGCAGAGGGAGCTGAAACGTCTACTTCCTGCTTCTTCTTTCGAGCAGCCATGTTGTTACGTTAGGTTTTGGCGCGACCTAACGGTAGGGTGGTATACTTTGCACAGTGTGGTTAAAAAGCAATAAACGAATTAATATTAATATATTGTTTGTATAGAACATATTAGCATTTAGTGAACCAGGCAAAAATAAATAGTGTTGACAGCAGTTAGTTTAACGTGTAATTAAAGGGAAAGCACATGTCTAATTAATACATGAATGGCTTACTGGGAGACTTCTTTAGATACAAAGCTATCATTACAATTATTAGTTCCACCAGTGCTTTTCGTCCTAGTTAACAATTCTGAAAAGTTAAAGATATGAGCTAATTTATTTAAACAGTGCATTATCGAAAATCTGATGAGCAGAAATCAGTAGCAGAGAAAAAGTCAAATACAAACATAAATGAAATATATTAGTTTATTACAATCTACAACATGGCATAATTCCTTTTAGTGAAAAAGAAAATGCATTTTTATTGTACTCTAATGTACATGATACACAAAATAAACAGTTTCACTATGACATGAAACAATGTTTCTACAAGTACAGCAAATGAGGCAATCGGCTCTTTTTAGGGCCTGTTCTGTTGTTTCAGATCCGTTCACTGTGATCACCACATTCTTGTTATATTTACAAAATAAAACATAAACCAGCTTAATAGATTATTGCGTTTGTGGTCAAAATATTCAATTGCCATTGGCCAAAAATGCATCTCAATGGCAGGATTTGTAGAAAACACTTCTGATAAAGTAGGTGAGGTGAGCTATCATGTTGTGTAGCAGTAAGATAAAGGATTACAATAAATATTTTACACATGAAATGACAATGTTTTTCAAACAATGGCTGCTTACATTTAGTTTATTGGCTGCTTGAACGAAGTGCTGTCCATTATTTATAATGTGAGCAAATTCCCTGATCCAACACTAAAGAGTTACACATCTACCCCAAAGTTATTATGTTATGTCTTTAATGAATAAGGTGTGGTCGAAATAGAGGAAATATGAGCTCAAGCATGGAAACGATATGGCATTTGGTCAACACTGATAGATGTTTCACCAACCACTTATCTCAGAATGGACGAGGGAGATGTGGCATTTCAGAAAGGAAATTCAAAAGAATCAAACTGCATATCACATGATATGCACTGAATAGATAAAATATTAGGAATATGTCTTGTATGGAGATGTAGCGCCTATTGCACAACCAACATTTCAGTACATATTCATGTCTGCTTCTTTTGCGACAGTTTAATTATTCAGTTGTTCACAGGCCAAGTAAATATTTAGTATCAGTGCACGACTGCACGTATGACTGCAGCAGTCATATCAGGGTATCTTTATTATGTGTACACCCATGTTAAATGCAAGATTGCATAGTCTACTCCCTATTTATAATCAGTTTGAGTGCTTACAATTAAAAAATATGAAAGCTCTATTATGTTAGATCAAAACCTTTGTTCACCACTGTGTCCCCTTTCACAGATTTACACAAGTCACCTCCAAGCGTTGTTTTTCCCCTTGGAAAATAATTTCATTTATGTTTTGTTCCAGTAGAAAGTTTTAAAGTCACAGGATTAAATGCAACTCAAGCTGTGTGCACCCATAGGAGCTGCCCAAAGCTTACAGTACTTTGATATGCTTGAGTGTATCAGTTCATATTCATGTACACCCAAATTGTAGTGGCATACATACAGTAAATATTCTAAAACATGTCCATGACCATTTGCCATCCCCTCAGTACATGTCCCTGTATATCTCTTGCAGAAGCGGATGCAGTGACGTGTCCTCAGTTGTTTTGATTTCCTGCACCAACTGAGCATGCTCCGTGACCAGCTCCCGGAGGTCAGCCAGTTTCTGCAGCAGTCTCGGGAAGAGGAAGTTGTTGTCCGGGTGGTTGGCCAGCAGGTGGAGCCGTAGTGCCTGAACGATGCTTTCCTGCAGCTGCTCCACTGGAGACACATCCACCAGCCCTGGGCGATCTGAAGAAAAAAGGGGTCAGATACAAATTAGTGACTATACACTAAATAGAAGAGACATAAATACATTTTAAATCTAATAATAGGAAACCAACTCAGATCTTCCTTATTTTCCTAAACCCTCTCACTATAAAATATAATTGATTATATAGGTTAGTTACCTCCGCAGCAGATAATGGCAGCCACAAAGAGTGCCAAGTCACTGTCGTCAAGCTCCAGGGAATTAAAGCGTGTGGCAAACTGGAATTTGGGCTCCATCATGTCGCTAAATGGCCGCCGTAGGCTCTTGAGGAACTCTCTGGTGATAAAGCCTCCACCACGGGCCACCAGGAGGCCGTCTTTGTTCATGCAGGAGGCCAAGAGGGTGAAGAGGGCTTCGTAAACGCCGTACTTCAACAGAGTCACCTGGGTGTGCAGGTAAGAAGGACAAAGCATGACTTCGGTGTGATTTGAAACATCAGTGTTTTTTGTGTCCTTTTTCCACATTAAATTCCAACATAAACTCAAATCCATTCAAATTCAAATCTGTGGGACTAATAAAGGTATTCTGATTCTGATTCTGATTAAGTAACATATTTTTTCTCCAAAGCTGACATACACCCACCTGATCGTTCAGATCCAGGTTCTGGAAACCTGGCACTGCCTTTGCGAACTCCGTCAGCTCCGTGACCGTCTCCACCGAGGTGCTCTGGCAGCAGTGGAAGAGCCTGGCTTCAGCCTCCCTCTGCTGGAGCTCCCCACACCCCAAGTCCAGAACCACCTGCCCTGCTTGAAGGCTGCTCTCGGGTTGGTCACCGTTAACCATATGGGCCGCTAACGTCCTCTCAGCCAGCTGGAACGTCTCCATGTCATGGATGATGAAAGGCTGCTGGGAAAGATAAGAGGAAGGAATGTTTGAAGGTGAGGATATCGATAAATCTGTATGGATACAAGTATTTTTTTTACCGGCTTGCTCGTCTTTCCAGTCAGTATGAGCCGGGCTTTCGCCTTGTTCATGTTGAAGTTCTTCATGTAGGCTTCGTGGATTTGCCCAACAAGAATTTTGTGGTCGACCAGCATGGGGCTTTCCACCCCTTTCTCCACCTTCTTGCTTTCTGCCTTTAGCTTTAGCTTCTCTGCCTGAGGCATGCGACCAAAGCGGATGGCTAGTGCAGAGAGACATTCATCATTAGCAACAGATTTCAAACGGTAGGTGTGTTATTTTACAATCAGACTACACACAGACATCATAAATATCCTCCTACAGCAAACATGCATGTGTGCAGACAAGTATTTGCCCCCCCACTAATCTGTTCTCTTCCCCCTCCTCAGAGGACAACATGTCGTCCTCTCAGGTTTCTGACGCTGCTCTGTCTGCAGGGGGAGGCCATTGTAACGAACCCATTGACCCTTCAGCAGCGAGTGCAGATGACGGGCCAGATGTGGAGTTTATGGGCCTGTGTTTTGTCAATGTCAAGCACGCTTTGGCAGGAGGTTGTTCTATAAAAACCTAGTCAATGCAGAGCAAGTTGAACTGGAGCCAAATCATAGAAAGACAAGTCCTGCTATTACATACTATGGTGTTGACTGAGAACGTGTTGAGAAATGTTTTATGTAACTGCATTCAGGACTAGTTATTTTTATTGTATCAGTGTGTTGAAGTGGCTGCTAATGATTTCAGTATTTAAACTAATATAGACTTTTACCAAGACTGTTACGAAATATATTGTAACTTAAATTCATAATCAATAAAACACACTTTTGGCTGCTAGTACTTAACAAATGTAAGCTAATGTTCGCTAGCTTTAGATAGTGCTGTGTCACTGAGCTAATTACAGTTAGCTAGTCGGTTTACTGACTTCATGACTTCTCTCTTTGAACTACTGTTGCACAACTTTTACCATTATTGACAACTATTCTGTGATTGTTACTTGGGGCTGGTGTAGCAAAACGTTTAATAGCTTAGCTTAGCTTCTAACTTGTGGTTCAGGCCTTACCATTGTGGGACATTCCCACAGAAAGGCACTTATGGAATCTGCAGTACTGGCACTTGTTGCGGTTCTTCTTCTGGATTTTGCAGTTGCGTTCACATTTATCATACTCCAGCTTTAGCCGGATGGTTCTCCGGAAGAAACCCTGGTTGAAAGAAGGACATATTGTAGCCATCAACTTCAGTCATCATTTGAAGAATAGTGATGATGTTTTGAGTACTAAAAAAAAGCCCAGTGTCCTGATGTCTTAAAGCACCGTTCAGCTTTGAATTCAACCTTGTTACATTACATTTAGCTGACGCTTTTATCCAAAGCGACTTACAATAAGTACATTCGACCAGGAAGACACAACCTTGAAGAAAACAGAATCATATAAGTACATCAGGTTTCATAGAGCCAAACATTTCAAGTGCTACTCAACTGGCTTTAGGTAAGCCAGTCCTTTATTAGTATAAAAGTGCTTCGTTAATAGTTCTAACGCTCGAAGTGGAGTCGAAAGAGATGAGTATTCAGTTTGCGCCGGAAGATGTGCAAGCTATCTGCCGTCCTGATGTCAATGGGGAGCTCATTCCACCATCTTGGAGCCAGGACAGCAAACCCACGTGTTTTCGCCGATGGGAACTTGGGTCCCCCTCGCAGCGAGGGCGCAACGAGTCGTTTGGCTGATGCAGAGCGTAGTGCACGCGCTGGGGTGTACGGTTTAACCATGTCCTGGATGTAGGAAGGGCCAGATCCATTCGCAGCATGGTAAGCAAGTACCAGTGTCTTGAAGTGGATTCTAGCAGTTACCGGAAGCCAGTGAAGGGAGCGGAGGAGCGGAGTGGTGTAGGAGAGTTTAGGAAGGTTGAAAACCAGACGAGCCGCTGCATTCTGGATGAGCTGCAGAGGTCGGATGGCACATGCAGGTAGACCAGCCAGGAGGGAGTTGCAGTAGTCTAGGCGTGAGATGACGAGAGCCTGGACCAGAACCTGAGTCGCTTTCTGAGTCAGCTGGGGACGTATCTTCCTGATGTTGTAAAGCGTGTATCTGCAGCAACGGGTTGTAGCAGCGATGTTTGCAGTGAAGGACAGGTTGTTATCTAGGGTCACACCCAGATTCCTTGCAGTCTGAGTCAGGGAAACAACTGAGGTGCCGATGTTGATTGTCAGGTCAAGAGTTGGACAATCTTTTCCCGGGAGGAAGAGCAGCTCAGTCTTGTCAAGGTTGAGCTTGAGGTGGTGAGCAGACATCCACTGAGAGATGTCAGCTAGACAAGCAGAGATGCGTGCGACGACCTGGGTCTCTGAGCGGGGAAAGGACAGAATTAATTGGGTGTCGTCAGCGTAGCAGTGGTAAGAAAAACCATGCGGGCTAATGACTGATCCGAGCGAGTTTGTGTACAGGGAGAAGAGGAGGGGACCAAGAACAGAGCCCTGAGGGACCCCCGTAGTTAATTGACAAGGGTCGGACTCAGACCCTCTCCAAGTCACCCTGTAGGTACGGTCTTTCAGGTATGAGGTGAAGAGGGAAAGTGCAGAGCCTGAAACTCCAAGTTTTTGGAGAGTGCGAAGGAGGATCTGATGATTCACCGTGTCGAATGCAGCAGACAGGTCCAAAAGGATGATGACAGAGGAGAGGGATGCAGTTTTGGCAGTGTGCAGTTCCTCCGTGACAGCAATGAGAGCAGTTTCTGTGGAGTGACCTGCCTTGAAACCAGACTGGTGCGGATCCAGAAGGTTGTTCTGATTGAGATAACAGGAGAGTTGTTTAAAGACAGCGCGTTCAAGTGATTTAGACAGGAACGGGAGGAGAGAGACAGGCCTGTAGTTTATAACATCAGACGGGTTGAGAGTGGGTTTCTTTAGGAGAGGGTTTACTCTTGCCTCCTTGAGACTGTTTGGAAAGTGACCAGAAGTTAGAGAAGTGTTGATGAAATGGGTGAGAAACGGTAGAATATCAGGAGCGATAGTCTGAAGGAGGTTTGAAGGGATAGGGTCCAGAGGACAGGTGGTAGGGCGGGCAGAGGTAATGAGGGTAAGAACCTCACTTGGAGAGAGAGGGGAAAAGGAGGTTAGTGTGTTGGTGGAAGGAAGGTCTGGTGACCCAGCGGTGAGTAAAGGTGAGTCAGAAAAAGAAGAGCGAATATCATTAACCTTTTTTTCAAAGTGGGTAACAAAGTCGCTTGACAGAAGTGAGGAGGGGGGAGGAGCTTTTGGAGGGTCCAAGAGGGTGGAGAAGATGGAAAATAGTTTTTTAGGATTGGAATAGGAAGATTGGATCTTATCTTGAAAGAAAGTGCTTTTTGCCTGAGAGATCGAAGCAGAGAAAGAGGAGAGGAGAGCTTGATAGGTTAGGAGGTCGTCACGGTGTTTGGATTTCCACCATTTCCGCTCTGCTGCCCTAAGGACGGTTCTATTAGCACGCAGTGCATCATTTAGCCAGGGAGCCGGAGGGGACTGACGAGCCTGCCGAGATGTCAGAGGACAGAGCGAGTCCAGAGTGGATGAGAGAGTAGAGAGGAGAGTTTCTGCAGCAGAGTTTGGAGGCAGTAGTTGGAACGAATCAGAGGAAGGGAGGGCTGAGAGCACCGACGAGGCAAAGGTAGAGGGAGAGAGGGAGCGAAGGTTACGGCGGACAAGTGTAGGATGGGAAGAGATTAGTTTGTTATGTTTGGAAAGGGATAGAGAGAATGAAATTAAGAAGTGATCGGATGTGTGGAGCGGGTTTACAGAGAGGTTAGAAGTAGCGCAGTTCCTTGAGAATATGAGATCAAGGACATTGCCAGCTTTATGAGTCGGTGGGGACGGAGACAGTGAGAAAGCAAAGGCGGTTAACAGAGATGTTAGTTCGTCTATCTTCCCCATCTGGAGGTTGAAGTCTCCGAGAAGTACAGCGGGAGGGCCAGTTTCAGGGATGTGTGAGAGGAGATGATCTAATTCCTCCAAGAAGTCCCCCAAGGCGCCTGGTGGACGGTAGAGAACAACAATGGTTAACTGTATAGGATGGGTTACTGTGACGGCATGGAACTCAAAGGTGGAAGGAGTGAAGTTAGGTAGCTTGAAGAGGGAAAAGCTCCATTTGGGAGAGAGCAGGAGACCAGTGCCACCTCCTCTGCCAGTGGGTCTGGGTGTATGGGAGAAGGAATATGCAGTGGAGAGAGCTGCTGGGGTGGATGTGTTGGATGGAGTAATCCAGGTCTCAGTGAGAGCAAGGAAATCCAGAGACTGCAGGGAGGCGTAGCCAGAGATGAAGTCAGCCTTAGGAACAGGCTGACTTCAGGTGGCAGTTCCACAGTTCCACAGGCCACCTGAAACTAGATGTTGGATCTCAGTGGAGCACGTGGGATAGACGAGAGCAGGCCGGTTATATCGATTAGGAGATACACGGGGCCAGTGATAATTGCGAGAAGACACATGAACAGGAATGGAGAAAATACACATGATTATAGCATGAGGGGCTAAACAACTAAATAAAAAAATTAAAAACACCAACGATACTTAGCTCAATCAAAGTAGGATTTGCCTCCTCTTTGCCTCCTGTAGGACTCTAATGTCTTTGTCAGTCTTAGCCTGTCTGACCGAGAAGTCTAATTAAACAAGAATATAACTTACAGTGGTTGCAGCGTCAATAGGTAATGTCGTCACCAGGTCCAGATGCACACTGAGTTCATCAGTTTCTAAATGCGGTATTTAAATGCTTTTTGAGCTAAAGGATGACTGAGTCACGCGGTTCTACTTCACGCAATCAATAGACTGGCCCTGCCTATGTTAATAATGCAGGCTTGAGTGCTGAGACCTGTAAAGCAGGTTTCGCCTGAGCAGATCTGAGATTTAAAATCTCTCAAAAGCGATTTAGCCGTTTAAGCTACAGTAACAATTATACAGAGTCGAATAAATGAAACCGAGAAGTCTAATTAAACAAGAATATAACTTACAGTGGTTGCTGCGTCAATAGGTAATGTCGTCAATAGGTAATGTCGTCACCAGGTCCAGATGCACACTGTTATACTTGCTTGTGTAGTAGTTATTACTTATATTATTTAAGAAACATCTAACTATCATTCTATGAAGCAAGGCTATACACACCATATGTCCGACACCTATATCTGCAGCACCTTGTGATACATTGCATGCATTGTACATTTTAAGCCCTAGTAGAACCACTGTTACATAACATTATGGTTGGATGTATAGTGGAATAACGTCTATATTTAAAGAGAGACATTCCAAGGGTGAATAATAAACTGTAACCTTTCTGAAGGACAACTCTGATTGGACAAGACATCATGCGGCCCTCTGACACATGGAGATAAATGCCAACACATGTCACAGATGTACCTAAACATATGATCCTTTGACACTGTCATATACCTATGTGTGCATCACTTACATTTCAGACAGGACATTACTCATCCCAGGAGGGGATATTGCTTTGGATACCTGGACCCACATGGTCACACAATATATTATTAAAAAGGGGTCATTATTTGGGATACATCACTATTCTTTGTAATTTTAAACCACAAATAAATCAAATTTTATGGGAGCAATTTTCATGACAACACAGCAGGGGGAAATTACATTAAAAGTAATAAAAAATACATAATAAAAACAACAGAACTACACAGGAAAAAAACAGATGTGTAGGTTTACAGCATGCATGTCTTTCCATGTCTGTATGGACATAAGCAGGACATATACCTGTGAGTAACAAGACTAAACACCTGAAAACAGAGAGGTATTGTGCAAGACCAAAAGAGATGTTTGAACTGCCGCACTATTCAAAGCAACTGTGTAATAGCAGGTAGAGGGGATTTCCTTTCCATTAATAAAGGCTTTCTTTGCGTCACAGACAAATGTCATACCCTCATCACCACTGAGTTAATCCCTCGCACCAAAGCAGCACATTCCATTCACATTCCCACTATTGAGCGCTCGTCTCTTAAAGCGAGGTGTTGAATGTGATACGCAGAGACAGTCGAGCATTGAAAACGTGAACGGCTACATATCACAAGCCAGGTTTTTCCATGAAGGCGCAATAACTTCAGTTTGGGAACAGAGTGCTGTCAAAATACACCTCTTACATGAGCAGCGTCTAACAGCTTTGACGTCATTATAACACAGAGGCCTGGTTTTGCTTTGTGTGGAACTGAAAGATTATTTTTCAAAACCTACACAGAGGAAAGTAACGTTTTCCAACAAGTGTCCATCTCTGATGTCTCCTCTGGATCATAGTGATATTGAAGGCACAGTGCCAGTCCAGAGGAGTGAAACAACCAGATTAAAGCAGGCAAGGTCACAAGTTAAAAAGTCATGCAAAAATAGCAAACAAAGGCTCAGATTAGCAGCAACAACATGCCGTCGGCTTACAGAGGAATGAGACTACTACAAGCTCACATGACTTGAGTCTCAGTTACAAAATGTTCTCATTGCCACTGTCTTCTGACATTATTGTAAAGAATATAGTACATGTAAAGTATATATAGTCTATAGGACACTGAAACCACTGAAATCACTACAGAAATACAAACACTTAGAACCCATTTACACGGGAACGAAAACGATATCAAAAAAAGTCTTCCGTTCACATGGATACGGCTCAATAAACGTGTCCCTTCACACGAAACCGCTCGACCCGCTGTAGTACATATGCCGGGCCTGTAAGTGGCGCTGTTTTTCCGCCACAAAATACACAAAAAGCAGCGAAGAAGACCCCCGAGCATGTTGCCATGGTTGCCCTTCTGTTTATTCTCCGCGGTGGATTTAGCAACATGTAGTTCATGTAGTTCTCCATGTCCACTTGTTGCTGATGGTTGTGGTAGAGGAGCTGTAGATTTTGCACTAACATCTGTAGCATGGTCAGTAGCAGTAGCAGTAGCTACTGACCATGCTACAACAGTGAGCAGCAGAGGTGGGGCTATGGCTTCATCGTTATCAGGAAAATTATCGTATAGGACGTACACACGGAGCCGTTTTCCCCCCCAGAGCGTTCCGTCCGCAGATCTCTCCACCTTGGGACCCGTTATCGTTTGAGGGGTCCGTTTCCGCGGTTCCGTTACGGCCTTGTGTAAACGAACGGGCTATACGAAAGAGAAAAGTAGCGGATACAACCTGTTTCGTTCCCGTGTAAACAGCACATTCAATAAAACATCCAAACACTCACACCCCTGCCATACTCTAATAAAAACTTGTTTGGGTGACACTTTTAAAAAGGCAAACTTATGCTTGTTATACAAAGTCATCCATTACTAAGCTTCTTTGCTACTAAAAACCCATATCAACAGAATAACTGATACTAATCGTGTCACAAGGGCCTCTATTTGTTTTTTTCAGCTGCGGTAAAGTGCCTTTGGCCAGTCAGCCTGCTCTGTCAGAGGTTCAAGAGAGTGTTATGTAATTCCAATTCCCATCAGACAACCAGTAACCAATAAAACAAAAAGATGATTCATACATAAACATGTCAGCACAAAGCACCTTACACTGCTTCTGTGTACTGCTTTTCCAACCAGTAAACTGTGTGCCCTATTCTTGCTTTTGCTCTGATGTATTTTAGGGTTCCTTTAAAACTGCATCACCCTTTTTTGTTTTAGCTTTGATGTGTTCTTTCATATCTTTAAATATATATATTTGTTAAAGAAATTCCTACAATCATCAAGTTAATAATAAGTTATTATTTAGTAAAAAGCCAGGTTATGTGCCGCAACAGCTTGATGTGTGAACAAGACAACTGTATGTGTGTGAGTGTGTGTTTTAACGTCACTCAGTTTGGCTCTGGGCCAAGCAGGGGAGAGGTGACAAGTCTACTAAGGCCGCCCTGTCCCCCACCTCACATGACCTGGCGGCGAGTCTCAGAAACTTTCCACTGCCTTCCAGGTCGGAGCTTTGAATGTGTTTGGGTGCGCGTGTGATGGTGCCGGCATTCTCACTTTGATATGTATAGTATGTCTGAATACGCACACAATATACTGCCTGTTTTATTAAGTCTAGTTGCCAGCACTGTGAACCCGGAATACGAGTACCCCAAAGCTTTATGATAGAAATCTATACAGTATGGGTCCCCAGCCCATAGAAACTGCCGGATGCTATGTTGCATTATAGCCAGACAATAGTACAAAAAAAGCTTGGCCTATTTTGTGGGTTATCGAGGATGCTGAATCCATTTCTGACATCAGGATCCAAAATGTCAAACAGAAAAGGGCCAATATTTGTACTCTCAGAAGGGCTGATTTTGACAACCATGAGTAGTATTGCAACCGTTGGATATAGAGAGTCAGCAAAAACTTCAAAATAGACCCAAAATCCTTCAAAATCGGCCCAACAGAAGTACAAATATGGCCACAATCTGTTAAAACTGCCTCTCTAATGTCTCACCTTGCAGCCCTCGCAGGCGTGCACCCCGTAGTGGAAGCCCGAGGCCTTGTCAGAGCACACCCGGCACTCCAAGTTGAGGGGGCTGAAGTTCTCCTCTGGCCCCCCCGCTGCTCCACAACCCCCTGACGAAGGACTGGAGGCCGGGGTCAAAGTGTCTACAGCAAAACAACAAAGCAGAAATGAGACAGATGATTTCAATGAGCCACTTCAACAAATTAAATTGGAATTCAAACATCAACTTTTGGTAAAAATGTTTCACTTATTGGTCAGATGAAATATTTATGTAATTGCAGATGTTGAATAAGGAGACTTCTTACAGGTTGGCCAAAACCTTTAATATTTCTTACTTACACGCACCATATGTACTTTTCTGCCACTAGTGGTCTCTAAATCCAAAAAAATGACAGAGTTTGGTGGCTGTAAAGTGGTGTGGGACCATTGTTGGCGCGCAGGAGGTTTTTAAGGCAGGCCAAAATACCCACAGTGGTCTTCTCCTTTTTAAAAGCAATGGTCACAGTGAGAAAAATGCGTAAAAACTAAATAAAGCCGTTTCACTGTAATAAATCAGTGTTTCTTCAACAGAGTTTGGTAGATAAAGGATGGGCTGCAAGCTAATCGCTAACATGTGCTACACTTGTTATTTTGATATATAAAGATCCAGATTTTGGGTAAAATGTGGGTGAAATAAATCACCATAGTAATTTTCGAAATATTAGGGCCTAATATTAGTTATTGTGACTATTAAAATGCGTAAAATGCTCCAAAAAGTCAAGACTGTCTGACTCAGTGATGTTTCTGCAGCTGTTCCCTCAGCGATGCTTTGTAAAGCAATGGTAGAGATATCATCGAATACTTTCTTACTGAGCTGGAGGGCAAGGGTGGGGGCTGTGACATCTGTAATTTTCCACTCAGGACAGGAGGTGCAGAAAAACTCAACTCATAATAAGGCGAGTGATGTCTGTATTGTAGTCTTTTGTACTGATCATCATTGATCTGTTGTATTGGCTGAAATGCTTATGTTAATAAATACTGAGATGAAACTGAATGAATTATTTAACTTATCAGTCTAATACAAACAGCAAAATATAACAAACTATTAATATGAATACAGTATAATGTTCTAAAAAGTGGCCATAAGAGTACATTAAAGGGTCCCAATTATGCTTTTTGGAGTTTGCCCTTTCCTGTACTGTGTTATTTAGGTTTTGGTGCATGTAAATAGTCTGCAAAGGCTAACACGCCTTTCAATACCTGGAACGTCTGACTCCTTTATCACTTCTGTAACATAGTGACATCATAACGCAACATGCGCACTTCTATTGGCTAGCACTCCAACACCTTGTACGTGATGGGAGGGACATTTCTAAGCAGTTGACCAATCACAACAGAGCCGGCCAGCTAACCAATCAGAGCAGACTGGGCTCTGGTTTCAGACAGAGGGTGAAAAGAGATGCTGCAGCACAGGTAGGGATGGGTATCGTTTGAAATTGATCGATTCCGATTCTGCTTATCGATTCCCCGTTTCGATTCCAAAATTGTAAAAGAAAGAGGTCAAACGTTTAGATAACAAAAATATCTTTATTTTTTTAAGCTTTAACTGACATTTTTACAAATAAAAAATATACATGCAATACAAATGTATTGCACAATAGCTGTGCTTTATTTTAACTGAGCTATGCCTGTGGCAAGCTATTAACAGGCATTACACTGTGCCTTGTCTTTTTATTTTTTAGTGTAGTGGAGCATCACTTTAGAGTGTTTACCGCGATCCATCTTTGGTGTTATGAAGTGACTGAGCTCGTGAACTGTCTACTGGAGGGCGGGGGGAGCCTCGCTGCGGGGAAACTGTGGACCTCAGTCGCCTGTCAGCGCAACTTACATGATGCCGTTTAAAAAAATGAAGGGTGGTGCCGGCCGTCAGCGTACCGAGCCGGCCGCCAACGGCCCGCTGATGACCGGCCGTTCTGTGATTCTCCAGAACACACAGATGGCCAGTCCTCCCTTACCCTGGCTGTATTCCACCGGGTCACCGCGGCGCAGACGGACCCGGTGGAATACAGGGTCTACCGGGTTTAGGAACCGTTAAGCAGAACCGAAATTGTGTATTTTGTATGGGTACCCGGCATTTTCTTATCGGTTCTCATCTGGAACCGAGTTTCGGTTCCCAACCCTAAGCACAGGCAGTATGAGAAAAATAAATACCTTTTTGAACATTAAAGCATGGAGACATGTCCCAGTAGAGACAAAATACAAATATGAAGCTGAAAAAGGAGAAGAATAGTCTCCTTTAAAGAATATGAGTTGATGTAGAACTGTCATTTTTTTCAAGTGCTGCTCAGGAAGTTAGAGACAACATCATGGTGGAGACAGAGAGAGGTATATTCTGTTATCAGGCACACAGTGAACTTTCATGTGGAGCCTAAAAGGTCAGAAGGTCAGAGTTGTTCTGTTTTAACATGACTGTTCATGTACTTCATGACAATTTATTTCAACCACATGGCTGCTCAGCCACTCACCAAGTGCGATGGAGCTCTCAGACCCCGAGCTAGTGCTCTGGTACACGGGGAAATCGAATCCCAGCGTGTCGTCACCGATGGACTGGGAGATGTCACGGAGATCCTCCATCAGGTCTCCACACAGCGGACTGTCCAGCAGGGAATCCCCCAGTGGGGACGGGGGGCTAAAGAGATCCCCTGCCATGGTGGAGATCAAGCCAAACCTGGGAGGAACAACCCCTCACTCACCAGACTGTGATAAGAGGGGGGAGAGAATTAGGTTGATCACGAGGAATCCTGAAAAAGCCATGAGATTGGTTGCGAGTACGCAAAACACCCAGCTCTGAAAAAGATAGGGAAGCCTTTCAACAAAAACCTGATGCCATGTTTGCAAGCGACCAAAAACAACTTTAAATTATTGTTATTATTAGGACTTTTCTTTCACATCAAACGAGCTTTTTACAAATCTAGAAAAACTGGGCTTTTTACTATTCACAGTATGGATGAATAAAAAGGCCAGTCTCACATTTTAGTATAGATTAAAGTTTGGGGAGGTATGATGATTCATAAGGACAGCTGCTAGGACATTTCCCCAGACCATTAGATAATTTTTGGCAATATTTAAAACCAATGACTGCTAAATGGCAATATTGACTTTGATTTAAAAAAACTGATTAGTTACACTGAACAAAAATATAAACGCAACACTTTTGTTTTTGCTCCCATTTTTTATCAGATGAACTCAAAGTTCTAAAACATTTTCTATATACACAAAATAACCATTTATCTCAAATATTGTTAAAAAAAATCTGTGATAGTGAGCACTTCTCCTTTGCCGAGATAATCCATCCCACCTCACAGGTGTGGCATATCAAGATGCTGATTAGACAGCATGATTATTGCACAGGTGTGCCTTAGGCTGGCCACAATAAAAGGCCACTCTGAAACGTGCATTTTTGCTTTATTGGGGGGAACTGGGGGGGTCCGAAAACCAGGCAGTATCTGGTGTGAGGGGTAGGGTTAGGGTTAGGGTAATGTTGAGAATCGAGTGGCCTGTGTTAGTCGTCCATTACATACGCCTGCCCATACCATAACCCCACCACCACCATGGGCCACTCGATTCACAACATTACCCTAACCCTAACCCTCACACCAGATACTGCCTGGTTTTCGGACCCCCCCAATAAAGCAAAAATGCACGTTTCAGAGTGGCCTTTTATTGTGGCCAGCCTAAGGCACACCTGTGCAATAATCATGCTGTCTAATCAGCATCTTGATATTCCACACCTGTGAGGTGGGATGGATTATCTCGGCAAAGGAGAAGTGCTCACTATCACAGATCTTTTCAGATTTGTGAACAATATTTGAGATAAATGGTTATTTTGTGTATATAGAAAATGTTTTAGATCTTTGAGTTCATCTCATGAAAAATGGGAGCAAAAACAAAAGTGTTGCGTTTATATTTTTGTTCAGTGTATATATTTAATTTACATAACCTGGCATTTTCTTGTTTTTCAATAGATTTCCCCCCAAAATGTGTTATATTTATGCATATTTCTCATTCTCAAAAGCATTTTGGCAGACAATAAAGACTCCAACATACACTTGTAAAAGTATTCTTAGAATTGTTTTTCATATTTTAGCTTATTTATTGATTTGAAATGTGTTTTGTTCTTTCCAAATGACACCGATTAATTCCCAACAGTTCTTTCTATCCCGTAACAAAAATGCATAACAAGGTTGAGGTCAAATCAAGACAAAATCTGACATGTTTCAGGAACTGGCCATGTAACTAAAAGACACTTCATACTTTCAAGATTTCAAACCTTTTTGTGTATCTTAAACTTGAGTTCACCACTATCTTATTTCAGTTGACTTTTTTGACGAGAAAGCATGATAGATTTAGATTACAAGTTAACCTGAGATGACATACACAAAAATTACAAAACGAAGTAACCCCAAATTGCCATGAAGAATAAAAGACTACTCACTGACATCAGACCTGCCATGCAGTGGGGACAGAGGTAAGTTAATAACATGAAGGTGCTTGTTTAACAAGTGAACCATGCCCATAGAGTCAGCAGAGCCTCATTATTCACAGATTAAATTCCAGCCTGCCCAGCCAAGGTAAACATCAGAAACTCAGATTTATTAACCAACTCCATGATACTGCTCCAGAGACTAGATACTGTGCATCGCAGCTTTGAGATACTTTCTCTCTGTTGAATTACTTTCAACAAAGAATAAAGTGTCTTTCTATGACACTGCCTGTCTGTGCTCTGGCAGTGGATCTTAAAGTATGTGTGGGAGGGAGTTTGGTGGAGCTCCCAGCTGCTCACAGCGGGGTAAAGGACATCTGTTTGAGCCACCCCACAACATCATAGCAGCATTGCTCATGTCCTATAACGCTCCCTTCAACTTCCAGTAACTCGCGGCAAATGTTTCTGTTGTTGTTCTATGGATTGCTGATCTATGTTCAATTCCAACAAAGTTATACCATTCAAGCAGCCGGAAGTCCATGTAAAATCTCAGTTTACACATCTGCATGCATCTGTAAAGCTCTATGATATTGTGCAACTCGTTGAACACAACAATTTGTCAATATTCTGTCTTTCTGTGAATGCTGGTCAGACTCTGAGAACGTGATCAATCCTAGTGTGCTTGTTTTTGTTTATCTAGTCTCTGGGTTGCAGAATTTCAGGACATGGGTCCGGACAGTAAGATGTGTAAGGGGGAAATATTTAGTGAGTTTAGGCTCATAGCTACAACATATTGTATACCTCATAAATTGAGGCAGCTGTTAAAAAATGGTTATATTTGTACCTCAGTGCATTGAGTCCATCTTCCGTATATAAACAGTTGTTTTCCTGGAATCTGTGGTCATGGTCTTTCCACGTACATCACCGAAAGAATACACTTGTATAGAAAATAGTAAGTAAGAACCAAATATGCGTAATGTATCTAAATGTGTGCAATGTTATCAAAATATGTCAGATCTGAACTCACCACAAGACTTCCACATCTGAATTTCACAATTGAACTGTATTTATATCTGGATTGTGTGCGACCAAGGCAAAAACAAATACAATAGTTTGTCATATTTAGTGCAAAGAGGTTTAGGAAAGAGAAACAAAAGTGCACAAAACTTGTTTCCAAAGGGTTTATGGATAAAGTAGGTCAGAAATGTTTAAGTCCTTAAGTTTCAATGATGTATACACAACAAGCAGTACCTTAAACTGATTATATAACTAACGGTTAGCCAATGCGGAGACCCTATAATCTGGGAGATCTGTTCCGCTTTAATGGTCTTTGTATGAACTCTGAAGCTGCTTTGGTGCTTTCTTGAAGAGTCCCGAGAAAAGTCCATTACACTAGCCTAACTTTCTCAGGATGAAGACATGCAATAGTTTTCTAAATCCTGTTTGGACAAGCACCCTCAAAGTCTGGCTATAATCTGAAGGTGATCGGAGGCGTGTGGCGCAGTGGATAGAGCGTTGGTGTTGGGATCAGGGGGTCACAGGTTCAAACCCCACTGCAGTCAGCATGTCGTTGTGTCCCTGGGCAAGACACTTCACCCCAAATCGCTCCTGTGGGGATTGCCCACAGTATTGAGTATGTAAGTCGCTTTGGATAAAAGCGTCTAACAAGTAATGTAATGTAATGTAAGGTGGAACCCTGAGGAACCCCACATGTCATAGAATATCCCTTAGATATGTATCTGACAATAATTTGCGGCTTAAAGCTCAAAAGTTGCTGGTAATGACAGATTTGAATAGGTCTTTAGTTGTTAAATACAGGCAGTTTTTAGTGTCTAAGGGGAGAAGCCTGATTGGAAGGTTAACTATTCTCAGCATCTTCAACATCTGCCACCAACAGTTAAAAAACAAAGGTTTGTCTGATGCTTTGACTTTCATCCCTAAAGAAAAGAAAAACAAACTCCTTGCGTTCTTCAATAGTCAGTCTTTTAACAGAGTGGAGTTGTTATTTCTTCCCACCATTCATGCTCAGCCTTTCTGCTCTCTCTTTTCTGGATTTTGACAGCTGCAGCATCTCTGCATGGTGCTTTCTGTTTGCCAGACATTCTTTACATCCCGTATGGTGCTACACTATCAATGGCATGCCATTTTAGAGTTACAACAGCAAGGTTTTTGATCGATATAATAACTCTAAACTATGCCTGTCTACAGTGAAACTTAAAATACAACTGCTAAAACAAGTTAGTTGACGGCAACTCACCTTTTTCATTCACATTATACAGCTTTGATGCAACTACGTCCTCAACTAACTCTTAACTGATATGACTATTATTTGATCTTGATGACTTTGGCCCAGCCCACGTTTCCCTCACACCTTAAAGACATTGTGTTTTAACTCCCAGAGGAACTGTATTCCTGCAGTGTTGTTCTATCTATAGTTCAACAGGAAACTCAATGGACAGAGAGCAGTCAGCTGCACCCAACAACAGCATGTTAGCAGATGACAAAGAGGATACAAGAGACCCACTCTCGCAAAAAATGTGATTTAAAAAAGGACAGCATGGTGATCTAACAGCCTCTACTGTGTACGAATCAGATGTGTTGACCTTTGTAAGACCTCTGACGTCTCTGCAACAAGGTCATCCATGTGCCTCAGACAAAAATAAGAGGAAACTCAAAACAAACTCATACATCTTGTTAACTTGTGACTCTGCTGCACAGACAAGTGTATGGAAATATACTGCTGGCCGAAAGGGGAATTCATAGACAACACAAAAATAATAATGAAGCATGTCTTTAACACCATGTGGGAGTATGGGTTTATTAGAAAAGCAGGTGCAGGCTTAACTATTCAGTACATTTAAGGGGGTGGGGGCTCACTCGCCACATGCAGCATACTGAGAACAAAAGCATGCATTCCTCTTTATTTTAGGGTTAGGATAGGAAGCAGCTGAACTGAGATATTATCCACTTTCTACTCTTAAAAGTTAGTCAACTCTTATGAAACAACAGGCATGTAAACTGAATCAGATTACATAACAGCACAGTTGTATAAAGCGTGTTCATTACCTCAGAGGCTGCTATCCGGAGCATTTCCCAACGCTAGTGCCGGGATGGACACCTCGGTCCCGTGACAATCCGACGCCCTGATCCCGGTCGGCTCCGGTGTTTAAGGTATGTCGCCTGGCTGCGTACCGCTGTTAAACCTCCGCTTATTCTGTAGGAAATAACGTGGAGACGGATGGCGACACGCTGCGCACACCGCCTGACACACCTAGGGTTTCAGCCAATGGGAACGCAGGGATTTGAAAACGGACCACTTTTTGTATTGTTATTTTTTTTGGCAGAAAGCAATCACTTCCTGGGTGCTCGGGACGTCACGGGTCAGGGTGGAATCTGTTTTATGACTAATAATAATAATATAATGTAATCATATAATGTAGAATGTTTCGGTATGAGGTAGAATATTTTTTTAAAAACGGGACAAAAAGTACAACTCCAGGATAGAGATTTTTGTGTAATTTTATTTTTAGGGAAATGTAATATTCATAAAAAAAGATGGGCCTACTCCAAATCAAATACATTTGTGTTACTAATTTTATTTTTGCCAAAATGTCACATTCACAAGAACAAAATAACTGACTAAACCAGATTTTGCACATTTTTTGTTAGGATTACAACATGGCACCACTATTAAACATATTAAAAACAAGAAGGCAACCAAAACCAAATGTGTGTTTTACTTGAAATGTAACCTATTGTCTTATTCACACTTTTCTTTATTTCTTATTTCTTTCACTCTGTAAATGTACCTGTGTACCCCTGATGTCAATATTTTGTGTGTATATGTATCATGTACATATATATTTTTTGGAATAAAGGAGAAAAAATGTGGTGTAGCTTATTATATGTTCAGATACTGAGGTTTTTATGATCCATATTTAAATGAGTATATTCCTCGGTAAGGTTGAGAATATACGCTCAAATAAACACATTAGGAATTGCATAAGTGTGATCCTTCTGGGCTTCATGTCATGTAGGAATCAATTGGAAACAATATGTGCATGTTGAACAGATGTTGACCCAATAATAAAGTTAAGGAGGTTTATTGTAACATTTTACAGGTAATATATCCTGCAAAAAGACACTAGAAAGATTTCAAATTGATATTGAATATGAGCTTTGGATTAGATAACGACGTGTACTATATTAGATAAAGATATGTTTTCTTTGTAAAGTCAATTTAATTATGAGATATTTAACATTCATAGAAACAGATGGACTGGTTCCAAACCAAGTTCTGGACACTTACCAAGAACTATAGTAATATGGCATTACTATCAAAATCATTAGAAATAAAAAGGAAACAGCAAAGTCAATTCACCTTTTACTTGTACCATAATATAAACGGTTTTGTGTAAAATGTATAATGTTTATACTAATGAGCCACTATAAATCACGTACTGCTACTTGGAGAGGTCCCAGTTCACCTCCTGACCTGCCGTGGTGCCCTTGAGCAAGGCACCAGACACCCCCCTTCCCCCCTCACTCCCCGGGCGCTGTACAATAGTTGCCCACTGCTCCTAGTACTATACTCCTGGTACTGTGATGGGTTAAATGCAGAGAACACATTTCACTGTGTGTGCTTTGTGCTCTGCATGTGTGACCATTAAAGAGGGTTTCATCCCTCCCAATTCTTCTTTAAAAGCGTGTTAAAAACATTACATTTATATAGTAGGTTGTGTTGGTAGTCTAGTATCCCATGGATGTGTTAAAATGACTTTTCCATGACCTTTACCTAATTGTCCATGACCAAAAACATTACTCTTTCTCAGCGGTACCACTGAAAATGGTTTATTTTAACATGGAACAGGAAAATAAGGTCTGCATATGAAACATGTTGTGCCTATCTAAAACAAGTTGGCTTACTAGCTTCTACACGCTAAAGCAACTAAAATCTCTCACCAGCAAAATACCTCGTCAGTTAAATGCCATTTTACCTTTCATTACTATACGATACAGTATTTATTATCATTATAGTATTACTATTTTGGCGATTAGATAAAATATAAATTATATTTGATGCAACTTTAGTTACATTCCCATGACTTTTCCAAAACTTTGGGAAAAATATTGTTTTCCATAACTTTACCAGGGCCTGGAATTAGCATTTTGAATTTCCATGACTTTTCCAGGTTTTTAATGACCGTAAGAACCCTGTATGGTATGCATTTGCCTGCCGTTTTCTTATGTATATTAAATGTATAGTTGTATAAGCATTGCCAAGTATCACCCCTTTATGTTTACAAGTGGACAATGATAAGTAGATTATTCTTCTTATTAGAATTTCAAACATCCCCAGTTTAGCACGTACCATCTAGCGCCATCTACTGTGTGTGTGCGTGTGCTCAGCAACGTCTCCATCGTGAGAAGAGACTGTCCGTAGGGATTTAGCCCTAACGTTTTGCTGTTGACTTCCACAGGATAGCTGTGATTCACAAATGGGAGGGTTATAATTTGTCTCTCAGAAGGTCTCTTGTTGCATCTGAGGGGAAACACACTCTCATGTGTTCTGAATTAGAGACAGTCTTGCACACTCCCTTTAAGGTTAAATACAGTTTGAACAAGAAAAATAATAAGTTTAGGATGTGGTACAAACACTGGATATTGGTCTTGGCTCAAGTGAAGTTGGCACATTTTTTCCTGAATTTTGAAGCTTGAAATTGTTTTCTGGACATTTATTTTCCTTTAATTCAGTAAATCTACATATTTCATGGAATAATCCCAGATAATTGTTTTAAAAAAGGTACAAAAAATGTGGACAAATTAAAGAACAATGACAAGAAAAAGGAAATATAACAAATATTCCAACACAAAATTCCACAGAAAGAATCAGATTCCAGTCAATTATTAGTTTGTATGGTATTTCTCATCCAGTCTTTATTGATTTATGAAACAGTACAAGGATAAAACACATTTCAGAGATTTTTTTCAGTAACGTATGTAACTATGAAGTGCATCTTGTGATCTGGCACTACTCACCTGTTCACTGAGACCTTAGGGATCAAAGGCTGCTCTCTTTCAGTGAGCGAGGGTCTGCTGGGATGTGCTGCTGCCCTCCAGGGAAGGCAGTAGGTTGTACAGTTAGCTCCTGATGGGGTACAATCACAACCCTGAAACCACACAACCTACTACCTCACCCTGTACGAACACCATGAGTCACACCCAGTCACTGTGTGAACGTAGACACGACTCCTGTGTTGCTATCACATAAATACAGCCAGGTTAGTGATGAGTTTAAATGACACGTCCTGCTAATGGACGTATTTTGTTCATGCATTTCAAATTATAATGTACATTCCCAAAGATATTGATATTGAAGTGACTGTTATATTGTATATATTGATTGTTGTGTTTTTGATCTTAATGTGTGCATATATGTAAATGTGTCTGTTGATTGTGTATATAGGATATACATATTTTATACATATCTGTGTATTGTATAATTGTATTTTTGTATTCGGGATTGTTGGAAACTTCATTTCGATCTCTCTGTCTGTACACACAAACTGAAAGATTGACATTAAAGTTGACTTTGATAATGACCACATTTAAAGTAACAGACTCCTAATAACAAAAACATGGTTAAAAGCTCAAAGAAACGTCTATATATTTCAGAAAAAAAATCTAATCCTAATTGCACAATACAAAACATTAGGTACATATTCCTTATGACAAAGTAGTTTACACCCTATTATCTACTTCTTAAAAGTCTTATCATTTAGGGATAATCACTTCATTTGTATATGCTTATAAACAGATTTCCATTTTTCCTTTGTGACGATGATGATGCTGCCTTCACGGTCGCTTCAGGAAAGACAGTAAATTGTATAGTCATCTTACAGCTCGGGATTGACCCTAAAACTATACAACCTACTACCTCACCCCAAAGGATCGTTTATCTCCTGTCGGTGGTCCACCTGTAGGATTTGATGTAATGAAAATACACTTTTCTTTAGGGATACAATATGAAATAGATATCTGCTTATAGTGCCTGTGAGCTGCAGTCAGAACAGCTACTAAGTGGGCATTTGAGTAGAGATTATCTTGTCAGGAGTAAATCCACATGCTCATGAATTATTACCTCCGCAGAGCAGCTCATGGTTTTGCTCTGGTTTGGCCTGACTGTTTGTCAGCAGGATTACGGGAAAAACTACTGGCTTAATTTTCAGGAATTTGGTGGAGGGGTGTAGCACGGGCCCAGTAGGAACCCATTTAATTATACACAACCATTATGAGATTTCTTTTAGCTATGGGTTCATCGACACGATACTGTATCCACGTTATTTCTACCAGATTTGAAACTGAATTTAGAAAAACTTCAGATGTTTTTTAAACTATTTCACACCTCTTTCTTACGTTTTTTCTATGAATCTAAATTAAAATGTGTTTTATTTTGGTAAATAGGGTAAGTTGTTTATTAGTATTGTTTTTTAATTTAGTTAGTTAGTTAGAATACTTCCTGGATGTCTCTCCTCCTCAGGTGAGAGCGGTCTGTCGGCGCCTCCTCTCAGGTTTCCTCCGCCTGATGGAGACAAATGAGGGGAGAGAGTGAGCTGCTGCCGGGCGTTCGAGTCACACTTTCACCTCTCGTCTTACACATGAGAACCACGCAGCGCTCCACTGAACCTGCGCCTTGCAGATGAGCATCAGTCTGTACGTGTGTTTGGATCAAAGTTCAGCTTGTGGTTGTTTTGTGGGAGTTTCCTAAAGAGAAACAGGGAGGTTTCCCCTGGAGCCGGGGCTGAGGGTCGGGGTCCGGGTGTTTTATAGCAGGTGGTTTATCCCATTAACGACACACACATCTCTACAAGAGCTGCCTAATGTCCGGGCAGTGAGGTAAACAACAGACCTGCATCTTACTCCATTTTAAAATACTGTTTAAAAAAACTGTTACTGGATGTGGATTCATATCTTGTGCATGCTTCTGAATTAATGTTAAGCTATCTTTGGAACTCTACTTTTGCTGAAGCAACGTAAATGTCCCTACTGTGGGATGATTAAAGGTTTTCTGATTCTTTACTTACACTGTTATAGTGCCATGTATCAGGTGAAAACCAAAGGTGTTATGTAGCCAAGTACATTTATTCAAGTACTATACTTAAGTAAAACATGTAGGAACTTAACTTAAGTATTTTGCTACTTTATACTTTTACTTAATGCACACAATGTATAACAATACGTTTTATTTTTCCTTTTTTTATTACTGCCGATTTTTATTCCATTGCATTCCATTTCTATGTAAATACTGTTATGTTTTTTTATATTTTTCTAGTTCTCTATCTGTGTTTTTAATTTTGGTTTTACTTTTATTTATGCACCACGACATCAAGTCAAATTCCTTGTACGTGTCAACCTACCTGGTAATAAACTAGTTACTTTGCAGATTTAGGTTATGAATACAAAATATAAATTCATTATATATATATATACTTATAGTTTAAGTTACCCAGTAGTGTATAAAGTCATTCAAATTAACCCCACCTTTGCCAAGTGCAACATTGAAGTGATGAACACATTAATGCACCGATAATATTAATACATTTAATAAAGTCATTTAAATTACTCGTTAATTGTTCTGAAAATGGCTATTCTGCAAAACTTTTTTTTAAGTACAATTTTGAATGCCGGATTTTTACCTGTAACTGAGTATTTTTACACTGTTGTATTGCTATTTTTGCAGTT